TAACATTTATATACCCTTTCAAGGGTATTCTAATTTTAGTCAGAAGCTTAAACTGTGTGAAGTAGTCATTACCGACCCCATAAATAATATATATTCTTGATCAGCATTAGGCGAATCTTTCTGGGCATGTAGGAAAGATAAACATTTTGCCCTATTTTTTTAAGATTAAAATGTTGAAAATTGGCAACATTTGATTTTTTTAAGTTTTAAAATTGAGTAAACAGATTTGTTTGAATAAAAACTTACATAGGAAAGTTTTCCGAATAAAAATTAATGCAGAGTTGGCTAAGTTATGAACTTGAAACCAAGCTTCTTCTTTACTTGTTAAATCAATTTTAATGTTAATTACTATAATTTCTTTTTATACAAGAAAAGAATATTTGTAGAAACTTCCCTCAGTGCACTTACCACAAAGTGAGTCCTGTGCTGTGCTCCTGTTGTTTTTTTTTGTTGCTAACACATCCTTATTGTTGTTTTAGTGCTGTGCCATAGCAGCTGCACTCGTGGGTGTAAAGGCCTGGGCGCCTGTTTTGTGTTGGCCAGAGTTTTGCAATTAGCCCACCGCCTGACAATTGATGGCAGGCCAGCTCCTGGAGGCTCACAGACACACTCATCCCCTCCGTTTCCATATATCCGTTGTTGTCCTCGGTGCCTGTCCCCAATTACTATGGCTGTCGACAAGCCATTTCGCCCACACACTCACATATTGTTTGATTTGACTTTTATGGTTTATAATTGGTTTTTAATGTGACCGGCAATTAGCAGACATCAGCGGGAACTAGAACATCTTAAAGATTTAATACACCTCGTATACCAAGTGACATCTCCATCGGTGGCAGCCATAAAAACGCTTGATTTATGTTCCACCATTGAGGAGTGACATGAAGAGCATATTAAATGCAATAAATTCACTTAGCGGCAGCAGGGGGGCACTCACTGAAAAGCAAAAAAAAAAGAAACCGAGAAAACCCACTTGGATACAGGAGATATTCATGAGAGAAAGGACGAAGTGGAAAATACTCTTCAAGTGTTTTAAATCATTAGCTTGAATTCTCTAGCAAGTGTGATCTATCTGAAAGGGAGTATTTATAATGTTTATATTGTAATTTTTAAAACATAATATTTAGCTGGTTATAAAGTTAGCATCAAGCTTTATAGAGTACAAATGAGTATTAAAAAAAACGCATACTCTGCAAGTCACTGACACGTAAACGCTGCCTGATATAAATGCAATTTCTCTTCGTGACAATGTTGCCCCAGCCAGCATGCTTCAAATAAACAAGCGAAGGGAGCCGGGAAAATGCTGAAGGGGATTGCCATGAGGAGGTTTTCCCTTAATGGAATTGTTGGAGCCCTGCTCCTTGCAGCACTGCCTCCACATTGCAATTATCGGGGCATGAAAAGGAAAGTGCAGCGGGGCGATAATAAAGAACAACAGCAACATCGGCAGGAAAGTCATATGCCAGCACTTTGCCATAGAGCCAAAAGGGAGGGTGTAAGGTACAAAGGAATAGAGTACAAAGCCCCATATCGATTTAATTAATTTTTCCATTCCTTTAAAACCTGCAGCAGGTGCCGAAAACTGAAGGATTGACTGACTGACTGACTGACTGACTGAGTGATTTCCTGACTGATTGCAGCACATGCTCGAATTGTGTTGTTTAAGGTTACCTACTTTCAGGTGTCAAAGTGCCTCAGGTGGTTTAGGGAAAAGTGTGTCAACAAATTAAATTACAAAATTGAATATGCTTAGGGATTTTAATAAAAACAAGAAAGGAAGCTGACTTCGAGAAGCCAAAGTGTTTATAAGTTTGCAGTGATCCATAAGATAATGGGTTCGAATGTGAAAATGATCATAAATAAGCCAAAGAAGCATTAATGCCAATTTGTTTTCATTGCTTAATTCCTTTCAGCGAAGAGTTATATTCATTGCATCATCATCCAAGTAATTTCTTCCTGCTTAGGTGATCTTTTGGAGTCGAAGAGTAATCACTATCACCATCACCATAGATGTTAACATCGGGGGGCCACGGACAGACTGAGGCCAGCGCCACAGCAGCGCCTGTATTTATACTCTCCAAGCAAAGAGAATAACAGAGAAAGTAACAGCGAGAGCGCGAGAGAATAGGAGCTATCTCTAGAGAGCCCGAGAAAGTTTGAGAGCAAGTGTTATCTGTACAGAAAGGCAGAGAGATATGGGGAGCTAGAGGTCTTAAGAGATACACAGAGTGCAATGGACATACATTTAACAATCGTCTCTATGGCAGCTATATGATATAGTCGTTCGATCCGGCCCGGACAGACAGACGGACATAATCAAGAATGTATATACTTTATAGGGTCGGAAATGTCCCCTCCACTGCGTTGCAAACTTCTGACTAAAATATATATGCAACAAAATAAAACAAATAAAAATATGGTATAATCATTTATTATTTGCAATGAAAAATCCTCTTATAAGATTTCACTAAAAAATAAAACAAAAATTTATATATATAATCAAGATTTTTAAGTTTTCATGGCTCTTAGTTTTCAAGAAAATGTAAGAACCATAAAATACGCTTAAGCTTTCGTTGCCTCATTGAGTTTGTCTTGCATTTGTCTCCTTTCTAAATGGCGTGTTTATAGCTGCTTTAGATCAATGTTAGATTAAAGTGGCGACCCCTTATCCTGACTCAACCTTTCTAGTTAACCGAAAAATAGAGCCACCTTATAGACACCACTCCACCTTAACTTTCCCTATTCAGCTCACACATGTGTTCAAGTTAGAGTCAACAAGAATGGAGAGCAGTCACGGTATTAATAATCAATTCCAACCTCGATCAATCAACAATCGCTCATTGACAGCTCCTGGAATTCCTTTTTCTCCGCTCTCCGGTTTTCCTGCACCCCTCAGGCTTACCTCATTAGCCGCAACATTCCTGTGAGTCAGCAGCGAGTCCTTCGCACGTGTCTCGCACAGTTGTCGCCCGGTTTTCCATGGCATCATGGCATGCCCAACAGCCATAGAGAGAAAGAGAGACGAGCTCTGGGGTTAAGCCTGGGGCTAAGGAGTGTTTTCATTATTATTGGCCTACTTTTACTTACCTGGCCGCCGCCCCCCAACGTGAAAATGTCCATAATTGACAGCCCGTTGAGCTAAAGGCGGACCAAAATACCTCAGAATTACGAAGCGAAATAAATGAGTGCGCAATCACAGTGAATTCTAGTTGATTGCTCAATAGGCAAATTGAATGGTATTTATATGGAATTCATAGAGTAATAGCCTTGATTCAGTAGGGGAATATATATATTTTAGTGTCTGAAGGTTGCACTAACTCTAGAGAGGCGAAGAAATATTTAAAATGTGACTACAATAAAGCAAGTTCCCTTAAAAATTCAATATTAAGTATCCCTATCTTGAAAAATATTTAAAACCTTCTTCATGTAATTAATGCATTTTGATAATTTAAAATCTTCCAAGAAAACAATTTTATAGGCCTTAATATAATATAAAGCCCCTAATCTCAACTATAAATATAGCCTTTACCCAAAGAAAATGTCAATTTAATGACTATAAAAGAGTCATAAAAAAGATTAAGTTTAACAACCAATTACTCAAACCTTAAACACCAATCTAACATGGACCTTCATCGGGTTCCCGGGCCTGGGGACTCGGGGATTGTGCAACTCTTTATCGATTTGGCGAAACCATTTAGATGTGGCCGCTCATCAAGGCCCGATGGCCATTAAATATAAATTCGACAAGGCATTCTGGCCATCCTGCAGTTGACCCAAAAAGCCACTCAACTGGGGACCGAACCTGAGGCCTCCCGGCCCCGAAAAAACTAAAACTCACAAATCATTGAGCGGTTCGAAGTGGAAATACTGAATACGAAACGAGGCGGACGATGAGGAAATTGCATCTGCATTCAGTTGGCCAAAAGTCTGGCTCATTAATAATGCAGGTCGCATATGGAGAGAGCTGCCACTCGCCCTTGCCCCTCTCCAGGAAGACGGGCAGCACCGCATTTTCATTTTCCCTTCCGGCTGGCCACACCAACTGCCCGAACTTCCCCGAACTTGCCGCGACTTCCGCCGGCTCGTTAGGCGATGGCTTGTGAAATGAGCTCCGACGTTCATTGCACATTATGGCCCACGTCCTGTATGGCTTCTGTTTCGTGTTGTTTTCCTTTTTTTAAGAGTCTTTTTTTCCCGAGCTCCTTGCATAATTACAAGCGGCGCTGCATTTTAAAGAGGCGCCTCGACCCCATCGAAGTTAATAAACAATTTGCACTCGTTGTGGCCTCCTCCTTGGCTGAGCATTATTCGTTAATTACTTTTTAATTGCACAAGCCATAGCTCAACTTTTGGGGCAAACATTTTGTTTCGTTTTGGCCTTGGTGCGTATACTTAATATCCATATAATACACATTTTTCGGGCGTTATTCTAAGGTTTCCCGTTGCGTCATAGGCGTATCCACTTTGCATGTCCCTCTGGGTTCCTTTATATTTTTTTGGGTTCGCACAGGAGGGGGCGTGGGCCAACTAAATTAAATTACTTGCCTTTTAGAGCGATTGTCCTGATGATGAGTCACGGCTAAAAGTGTGCAAATTGAGCCTCCTCTGGCGCTGCCCTTTTTGCCCTTACATTTTTTTTTCGGGTATGACGAAGGTCCTGCGTTGCTACCTGAATTTACAATGATGCTACTTAACGAGGGAAACATATGGAAGATTTTACTTGCATCGCTGTCTGGGGGTTGAACAAGAGTTCAAGAGGATATTTACAAGATTAGGATGACTTTTGTAAAATTTCCAGTTGGTAATTGCAAGTGTACATAGTAGTAAATGTTTCAAGTTTTAAGTTAGAACTTAGCACACACATTTCTAGCTCCTTATTTCTCAACAACGCAGTAAATCTCATCCCTTTTAAACTATTTTTACTTAAAGTTATTTATTTAAACGGCTTACAAATGCCCTGATTACGTGCTAGGAATACTTAAGTAAAAGATCACAAAAACTGTTGCCACAACTGCAACATGGAGCTGATGCGGTAGCGAGAGGAGCAAGGGACAACGACTTACTATAATCACGCCGCTCACATAAATCTCAACCGATGTCGGAGGACACTCCGGGGATGCCGACTCCCACACAGAAAAATCTCCCTCGAAAACCGACAGCAAATTCCGTCACGTCAGTGAGGAGAAGCCGTCAATGTTGTTGCTCAGCGCATTGTTGTCGTCCTGCTGCTGCTGGTGCTGCTCCTCACCAGAACCGGAGACGGGAGCCCACCGATTGACAGATGTCTGTCTGGTGGCATTTGGGGGCAATTTGTAGGCAATTGGCAGCTGAGGAGCCAGCGAGACAATCGACCTCGCCCGGCTATTTCTCCCAAAGGGTCTGGCATCGTTCGTATCCAGAAAGAATTTGCCACGTATCCTGCAATTGGATGGGGGCTATCAGCGTGTCTCACAGAAATTGGCTTATGTGAGCCTCCTCACCTGGGATCCGCTCCCATGCCCATGAAGGCTTGGCCATTTCCTGGCTCCCGGCAGGCTCCAATAGCTTCCGAGGTTTCGCATCGTTGGGCAGGAAATCCTCGAGGCTGTGCTATGCTCTCCACAAAGTACTCCCAGGCACGCTGGTGACTGCAGCCAACTGCAAGGATAACAAGGAGCGAAGTGGTTGCTCAGGATTCTCAAACATTTCTGTCGTTTATTTGTTAACAACTCACTAATTATGCCCAGCCAGCGATTATTGGCTATTTCCTGCTTGGCACAACCAGGCTGTAGGGGTCTTCCTCCATTCGGATAGAAGTCTGCATGTCCCATGGGTGCAGGGTTGCCTAGGATACCGCCATCCGTATGGATGACATCCACAAAGCGTGCATCGCTGGGACTCAGGCGCCGATTGGAGCTATTGCCTTCAAAAAGAGGTAGTGCTGGATCCAGAGCCGTTATCCTAGTCAGCTTAATGCCCCATTCCTGCAGTTGCTTGCCAGCAAAACCGGCCACCTCCGCACCCAGACTGAAACCAATCAAATGTATGTGCTTGGCAGGATAACCCTTGTCCACCAGATATCGCAGGAATCTGGCTATATAGCGGGCCGTCACCGGCAGATTCTCTACGGCATTTGAGTACCAGGGCACCGCTGTCATTGCGCTCCAGTCGATGAGGACCACGTTGTAGTTTCCTCTTCGCAGGAAGGCTGAAATGCCACAGGGATATGGTACAGAGAGAGAAATATATTGAGAAGATATTATGATAAGTTTTATATAATTAAATATTAAAGAAAGAAGATATAAAAAAGGGTTAAATAACCCTTATAAACGTTGATATCTAAAATTTCTTGACCTGACATTGATTTTATTTATACTTTACAATTTTTCGTTGCGTGTATGAAAATATTTGGCGAGGCTTTAGCTCCATTCTTCCTTACTCACTCACCGTCCTTCAACTCCTGGCTGCTCTGACGCTCGCCGGTGGCCGACTCCGAGAAGCCGTGCAGGTAGATGGCCAGCGGGTAATTGAAATTGAAATTGCTTTGCGCCAGCCGGGCATCGTCGCTCAGGTGTAGCATCTGCGCAGCATTGCGGTTCCGCCTGCAATGTAGACAGGGAAACGGGAAGCCGCCTTTGAAGGCCCCTCTCTCAATATGCATGAGGTGTTTTCCGGTTGCCTTACCTGGTGTACAGCATGAATTTGATGTCCTCGCGCTCCTTAATCGCACAACAGCTGGCGCAGGATCCGCGTGGAGCGGCGCTGTAGAAAATGGGGAACCAGCTAGGAAGAAAATTTCAACATATTATTTAAAATATTTTTGTATATTAAATATCGTTCTTAAATTAGAAAATTCTTTGGAAATATCAGTCATAAGATGTATACTTTATATCTTTGAAATGCTAAAGCACTTATAATAAGTATCCAATACTTCCTCAAATACGTACTAATTTTGTTGTACAAATTTATTACCCAAAACCCCCATTTGTTACAATTTGTCCCTTACAAACTTAAGTTCTTTGTGAACTCTTACAAATTGGACTCCAACTTTAGGCGGAAATGGAAATTTGTCAAGTTCCAAACACAAGCAGGTTTATTCAGAGCTTCGAAATACAAAACTAATTGATTCATTAGCTTCATTAGCTGGCAACTACTGGCTAGCAACGCGTCGAAATGCCAGGTAGCCATAACCAAAACAAAAAAATACTATAACAATAACAAAACAGTAACAAGCAGAAGCCAAACCCAAATGAAATGAAAATGAAAATGAAAATAAAAACAAAAACTGTGGCCAAAGAAAACACAAACTAAAACGAAAATGAAACGAAACTGGCCTAACGAAGACCGACTTGGCCATGAACTTGAATGGCGTTAACTGAAATGAAGTGGAATGGCTGGGGTTTTGTGGATATTGTACAAGACAGCACGTGACGCATACGCCCCGTGTTACGCGACGAAATAAAAACAAGTTTACATTTCCATCTGCGGTTATCGATATTCACACGACCAAGAGTGCGCCTGGTGGGTGGATTATGTGGTTTTGGTGGTTTGTTTTTTTTGTGCGGAGATGTCAGTGGGTCAACCACTGAGAGGTTTCAATGAAGCTATCTGCCTTTTGTTTATCGCCGTTTCTGTTTTGCTACACATTTTTAGCGGGTGTTTTGCGTATAAGACACTTGATCAGATGCCAAGTAACAATGTGATGGCCCCGGCCAATGTCAGCTTCATTTGCAATTCTGGCCACTTATCACCTTCCGTTTGATGTTATGCAGTGTTTTATATAGGAGAACTATAACAACTTGGAAATGATCTACTCATAATATATTAAACTGCAGATAATAAATAGAGGGAGAATGTATTATCTATACAACTTTATTCATCATAAGTTAAGCTTTCCCTTTTCGATAGCTATTAATCATATACTAAATATAATATAATACATATTTGAAGTTAAGTCAATGCATAATTATATGGTTAGCGTATCTCAACTTCGTGTTCCGCCATAAATTTAATGCCTTTTTTAGCCATACTCTAAATTTTATGTATGCAGATTATATATGTCTTATTTATGTAAATGTCAGTACGATATTTTTTTACTCTGTTTTTAGCGGAAGACTTTGTCGCGCTTATTTATGAGGAATGTTTTGTAGTTACTGCTGCTGCGTATTGCCATTTTAAAATTATTTTTTATTCTCTTTGTTTTGGTTTGCTTGCCTTTTGGTTTTTCGTTTCCACGTTGTTTTGCGACGTCATGCCGTGCATTTAATTTGTATTTCATTTTTAATTATCGCACTCTGGGCTTTAATTTAAATATATACGTTTTTGGTCAGGCAGTTAATTAACGGCTTTAGACCACGCTGATCGTTATGGTTGCACTCTCAGAACTTTACGGATACCGGCTTTATATTTCTAGTTCTATGTACTTCCCTGGCTTTATATTTCTAGTTCTATGTACTTCCCTGGCTGACATTGAAAATGTGGTGATTTACGCTATTAAGAATTGTCTTTATGATCTAGATGAGGGTAGATCATTAAGTTTAAAAGAAAGTACCGGAAAGAATGAAGAGAATTTAAAGCCTAAATTATGCGGTACTTGGTTTTGGAAAAACTTTCTTACATTAACATAACTTTAAGTGAACTTTTTAGAGGCACAAATATTAAATTTATGTTCATTATTTTGCCATTTAAAATGTCTTGCAAAAAAAACCTAACTTAGGACAACAAGAAGCGTGTATAAACTGAGCGTTTTACATGTGACACTTGATACATTGATGATTTTGCCTGTTTGCTCAATATCTTTTGTGATGATTGGCTTTTGTTCCCTTCCCCCTGCTAGCCTTTCAGCCTTGCTGGCTTCCTTCACGGCTCAGTGGCCATTGGAACTGACCTACCCCATGTCCAATATCATCGATGGTCAACAATTGAGTCTTTTGAGTGCTCGTATCAACAAAGACATCAAGTTGTTTGGACTATCGCTACCGCTCCTCCCCGCCAATTTACAAGCCACTCTGCCTTGAACTTATGTGCACAGTCCCTCCAACCCCCCCAGACGTTCCACAAGGCGCCGAGGCACGATTTCCCAGCCGACAGCTGACATTGAGGCAGAATCAATGCTAATAGATGCCACAAACTCAGGGAGCGGGGGAGATCAACTTACCGAGCAGAAATGTAAATACATTGCATAATGTCGAGGCGGCCGGCAACACCATGGCAAATATGCTAACAATATATACTATATATATTAAAGACTATAAAACAGTTTAAATATTGGCTCAAGTTCTGAGGCGTTCACTGAACCCCGGTTTGCTTTTGGGCGTCGGCGTGTTCAGCCAATTCACTTTCGGACGCGAAAAATCAACATTCAAATCGGTTTCCGCATTTGTCAGTCGGCACGACAGTACTATCTAAGTTTTATCACTCGATGATGATCGATAATGAGCTGACAACAAAAAAATTGAACGCTCTGTTCTCGACGAGCTGCGGCGGCAGACTGAGCGATCGTAACTCTCCAAGCGCCCAGCTAGACGCTCTGCCGGCGTCGCAGCGGCGTCAGAATTCGCGCAGCCCTAAAAAACGAAAGACTTAGGCAACAAACTTCAGCTGGAAATGCGTTCCGTATTTAAATCAGTTAATCAAGCATGCAAGAGCTGCCGCCGTACGTCTCGGGATCGTTAAATAGTTTTTTTATTTATTTTATTTTAATTTCCTGATTGTCGTGCGTCCAACACCTACACACTCGCCTCCCTGACTGGGATTCGCAATGAGCCCACCCACCAGGGTGGGTGATCTTCGGTGGGAAAAAGAGGGTGAGCCAAAGTGCGGCCGGATCCAGCTGACAGGCAGGCCGTAAGGCAGCTCACCTTGACCAGACGCCGCCGACTTTCCGTTTCACTTCACTTATCGCCTCTCGATCGCATCCGACATCCAACATCCGACAGTCTTTATCCATTCTGACCCATCCTCGATGGCTTCAACGTCTTTGTTTTTGTGCGGGTCAATTAGTACGGCGCCGAGTTGGATATTAATCATTTGATATATATAAATATATGCAGGGCGATCACTTACGACTTTAGTTGAAAAATAAAAGATTTTACCTGAGAAAAAAATCTTTAAAATAATTTTAATTCCTTTTTGTGGAATTTGACTGTCTGTTAATTGTATTTATAATATAATTAACTTCATTTCTTAAACTAACACAACACAAATAGCGCCACTCGAAAATTCAATAATTAAAGATTTACCAATTGTTAAAAACAAAAAAAATAAATGCGATTTCAGACTAGTGAAAAAATAACGTACATTTAAAAATTTATAAACTGATTCAAAGCTGAATCTTAAATATTTATAAATAAAACTAACAAGTTTACACATTTTTCACAAGCTTTAAACTTAAGCAAAACATTCAAAGCCAATTAAGTTGATTAAAAAGTTCAAGTTCAGGGTTTATTTCTAATTTTAGCCAAGCTGAAGAATAGCAAAATAAATAATAAGTTAATTTTTACCATCAGCTTAATTTTTAATAGCATAAAACCCCTTGAAAATATATCTTGCCTTCCTCTCTGATCCATATCAATGGCCTGAACTGTGTGCACTCGACCAGAGATCCGTCAGCTGGAGCTACAGATGGCGGGAGATAATTGCAAAAAAGATTCTTTGGACATTTGCGGTTGTCGATCAATCGATTGAATGAACACTTGATTGATTTGCCATTGCTTGCATAACCCACCCAAATACAGCAATTAAATACATATCTTACATATGCAACATTACAAAAGGCCAATTTAGAGAGGCCTTCGCCGGCGAACAATTCGCGACATTGAGGAACCACCAAGTGCAAGGGCTCTCACCACACGAAAACCACACACTTTAGAATAGTCAAGGAAAACCGCCTTGAGGGGCCACACATTGCATACTTTATATACTATATATATCGGTTCTAGGTTCTTTATCAAGAGCAAACTCATTAGCGGCGCGAAAAATGTGAATGAAAATCGCAATGGAAAATGCCGACTGAGACTGCAACAAAAAAAATAAACAAAAGAGACTTTACAACTTCCTTAAGCCTTCCCAGATTTATGACTCGCACATAATAAGCACAGATAATTGTGGCACAAAGGGAGTAGCTCCCTAAAAATAGCCAAAGAAGCTATAAATATCCTAAAGCGATCGTTAAAATCACTCCATTCGATCGGCTTTTAAAAAGCTGCTGAATCACACAATTAATTATTAACACGCAGTAGTAGTTCTTATAAATGAAAAGATTCGAAATTAATAACAAGTATAATATGTTCAACGATCTCAGCCGCTGGCCTGAGGTCGAGCACCGACACCGACTGAAACTGACCTCAGGCTATAGAAAGATATATATGTAGATACAGATATATATCTGCTCAAATACAAAGCGAAACGAAGCACCATTTGCATAATCACTCGTTGATTCGATACGAAATCAGACCGTTAGTCAACGCATAGATTGCAATCGACTGCTAATTTGGTAAACATATTAAAAATTTCATTTATATTATCCAAAGAGCTTTATGGACATGTCAAGCAGCTTCTGGCAAGGGCCTTGGCTCTGCCGCCATCATTTACAGCTAAACAGTTGTAAAACTAAGCTGTCGGCCAAGTCAATATCTGTCCACTGTTTGGCCAATTAATTTTACCCAATTTATGGCGTTTTAAGCTGAGATAATAGTTTTTCCATAAGCAAGTAGAGGGGGGAAATAGCACAGAAGGAAAAGTGTTTTTAGATTGTTGAATTCATAAAATAAATGTTTAGAAGTTAATTATGTTTATTTCCCATTCAAGGTTAATACTAAACTTTCGCTAACTTACTAAGTTAAGTCCTAATTTGGCATTCTTTCTTTTTATGATCTAAAAAGAACTTATAATCTTAGCTGTTTTTTTATGTATTACCTGCATTAGCTTTTAAGCGCAGTTGTGACATAATTTAAGATTTTATTATTTTAACTAAATTGACACACTGCCTCGAATGTTTTTTAATCACCCTAACCTTTTTGGTCAGTCAAAAAATAAATTATTGTTCTAATTAAAAATGAACTTTGCTTACCAGAAAAACAATTTTTCAGCTCTAACATATATATATTTTTTTTTATTCATTTGAAAGGTATTATAATTTTAGCTGAAAACAAAGTGAAAAAGTAATTTCCGACCCTATAAATCATATATAATTTTCATATAAGAATCCCGATAAATATCAATTTAAAGAAATAGAACATTTTAAGATAGTGATCGATTTCTGATTCGATCTCATAATTCAATTAAAAACAGCAAGGGTATATAAACCTTTCTTTTCTTCCGTGTTTATGTCATTGTTCTGTATGAAAAAATAATCTGTGAAAAGATTATTCTTTATGTAAGGTTGAGTAAATCTAAAGAAAAGGAACTACTAGAGCATTAAGATTTTCCCTTTTTTGGCCAGATTTTCTTTACACTTTGTTCTTGATGAAAAGATAATTGGGTTTATTTTTCAAAGGAACTAAGGGATGGTCAGTTGACCGAAAGAGCTTAGTTAAAATTTCTTTATATCACAATAATTTCCACAGATTTTAGTGCCGCATACTGTTGAGCTTAAGAATATAAAATGTAAAAAACCATAAGCTCAAGCATACTTCCAGGCAAAAAATTTATATCTTTATATTCTTACCAATTCCAGGACAAGCTGCTGAGCAAACTGGAGGAGGAGAGCGAACCGGATCCCCCAACCTCGCAGGAAGACGAGTGCGTCATATGCATCAATGCCCGGGCCACCATGCAGACCTCACCTTGTGGCCACCGCGTCGTCTGCCGGCGCTGCTTCGTCAAGACGATCCAGAGCGCGGTGGCCCAGCGCCTGCTGCCTCTCCGCTGTGTCATCTGCCGGGCCAGGGTTAATCGGTTGACCTCCTCCTCGGGCACCTGGCGCATCCAGGAGTCGGCCAGCAGCTACTCGATGGGCGCCAAGAGCTGGGCCTCTGCCGGAGTGGCCGCCGGCGGGGTGGTGCCCTCGGCCAGCTCCTATTCGATGAACGATGCGCACAGTGGCCATCACACCTTCCACCAGCCCACGCTGCACAAGGGTCGGCATCACTATGTGCCAGGTGCCACGCCCCGAGGAGGCGCAGGAGGAGCCAACCATGCCAGGGTCAGCCAATCGGACAGCCTGTACTCAATGAGCTCGACGGGATCGGCGGGCTCCTCGGCCTCCGGCTATTCGCACTACTCCAAGACGTCTTCCATATCGAGCAGTGGCCCCTGCTCACCGGCCTCACCGGCCGTGGCTTCCAGCTCCCATCACCTGGCCCCGCCCTCGCCCACCACGCATCATCACCACCATCATCATCATCATAATGGAGTGGCCTCGCCCACACCCTCGGGCTCCTCCGGCAGCTCCCTGTCGCCCAGGGAGAACACTGGCTCGGGTTCTGGCGGCTCCCATTCGCATCATGGTGGCTGTCCCAGTGGCTGCTCCGGCGCCGTGCCAAGGAAACCTCTGCACACGCTCACCAACTCTGCCTCGACATCCGTTTCCGCTTCCGCCTCATCCTCCAGCAGCAGCAGCGGGGGCGGTGCAGGAGCTGGAGCAGGACCTGGCAGTGGGATTAGCGGAATGATGACACCCACGCACACGTATCCGGGAAGGCGACATGTGAAGAACCGACTGATGGACATCCAGAACCGACTGCCGCCCATCAAGGAGTTCCGCAGTCCGGCCAAGGTGCCGCATCCCTCGCCCGTGCATGTCAGCAATCCCAGATTTCGGTGAGGATTAGGGATTTCAAAACTATAAAAGTTCCTTGATTATCTTTCTTAAATCTTTCTAGGTATTCCACCTACACGAAGTCTAGTGCCCATGAGCTGGCCCCGCTGCTGCGTGAGTCTGGTTCACCGCCGCCTCCACGTCGTCCCAGTCCCATGAACATCCAACTGAGCTGCTCCGCCTTGGCCCCGCCCCCATTGAAGGCGGGCGGGGCAAAGATCAGCCCGGTGACCTCAAAGAACTCGCTGCCCAAAAACGCTTACGTGATGCCCAAGGACAAGAAGCCGCCAGCTTCAGTTCCAGCTGGGAAAACCAATGGCGCTGCCGCCGCCAGGTCAACTCCTCAGGGAGCAGGCTGCTCGCGGGCCTCGTCCGGATGCGCTGCTCCGGCTGCAGGCTCATCAGGGTCAGGATCCACTGGTAATGCCAGGCCCACGACAAGCTCTTCCAGTCGCAGTTTTCCGCTTTTCTCCGCCGGCAGTAATCAGAGTAAGTTTGAGTAAGGATCCAAGGATCCTTGATTATAAGAATCCTAGGTACTAATTGGTTTTATTTCCTTTTCCAGGAGAGAAGGCTGACAATAAGAAGAACGAGTCCGTTGAGCGCAAGAAGAAGGAGGAGAAGCTCAAGCTGAAGGCTGAGAAGGAAGCCAGGAAGGTGGGTGGAAATGATGGGGAAAATGAGGGAGATTTTCGGTGCCCCGTCCTGTTCTTCTTTGTTTGGGAGATGCATTGTTTTTTATCCTTCCTCACTGGAACCCCTGACCCGGGCTCTGCCTATTTGTATTGTTTGTAATTGGCCTCGTTCCCCTTTTTTTCCTTTTTTTTTTTGCTGCTGCTGCTGCTTCTGCTTGCCAACTGTTTTGGAAAAGTTTTTCATTAATCGCAGGCGAAGGGGCGCTTTGTGGGGAAAATGAGGGAGGAAATGAGTGCCTTTTGTGCCGGCGAAAGCATAAATTTCCAAACTTACGAGCTCATAAAGCGCGCCAGCAATTCCGATTTTCTTCTTTATGATTTTCCGAGCATGCAAGCAAAAGTTCTATTTAGTTAACAACCGAATTGCAAATTTTGCATATTGCAGGAGGAGAAGCGCCTGGCCAAGGAGGAGGAGCGTCTGGCCAAGCTGCATGCCAAGGAGGAGAAGAAGCGCGGCAAGAAGGAGGCCAAGGAGCTGCTGTTGGCCAACGATGGCAACAGCAAGAAGTGAACCCAATTAGCCAGCAAAAAAAACACAAGAACAAAAACGCATATTTCCAGTTGCAATTTTAGCCTTAAGGACATCACCAAGAGTACCCAAGAGTACGGTGCTATATCAGAAACCAGATCGAATCACACACCTCAAGAAACCCCACATGAAACGAGCTTGATTGTATTTTTAGGATCATATTTTGTCGGTTAGCCGTTAAACCTTTGAATGAGTTTTCAAGCCAAAAGAAATAATTTAAGGGAATTTTTCAAGAGCACAAAGAGAAGGCTTGAAAGTAATTAAATACTTTACAGAACATTTTTTAGATACCTACTTTTATTTTAATAATGATTTGAATTTATTTAGCTAAGGGTTAACCACACTCAAGCCGCTTTAAAGTTTGGCTGGCTTACCAAAACCCTAAGAAAACGATGCCAAACCTTTGTATGAATGATAAACTTTTGGCAAAAACTGATTAAACATTTAATTCTTTGCTTCTTCCATTAAGTTGTCTTTAATTAAAGCCAACAAACTTTCATAACTCTTCGCTGTATAGAGATTATGCTAAGAGTAAGATGAAATCGCTGCCTTTCGTTCGACGTTGCCTCAGCTCTCAGCTCATCATCTGTATCCCATAATCAATTTAAAAGGTTGTTGAAACTATTTCAATTTATCACATTCCGATAGAAGTTTCCTAAAAACAATAGAGAAGATTACTACCATTTTACTTTCGAGTTTCCAAAGAATACTAGACTTTTAAAAGAATACTCCTAGGTAGAGAGCAAGATATAGAACCATGACCACTCTAAGGCAAACCAATGTTAGAGCCAAGCTTTGGCAAAAGTTAGCCACAATCCGGTACACTTACTAACTATATATACCTATACACAGATTCGATCAACCAATATGTTAACATGTTGACTAACAAATTACAAAATGAGAGCGTACTTAAGTAGTTTTCATATACCCCTCTATATATATTATATATATATCTGTATCTGTAACTATATCTATAGATTCCATGCCTATATACTGGGAAACTGTTCAAGCGGCAAACATAAGCAATGTTTCGATGTATGTATATGTGTATATGTATTAACAAGATTGTTTTAAAAACAGTAAAAGGATTCTCCTTTGAAAGACAGAAAAGCGAGGGAATCGAAGAAACCCAAATAAAGAATCAATTATGTTGAGAAATTCTCATCCTGTGGTTTTCATCACCTTTCCAATGACCTGCTTTTGTTTGGCCTTTAGGCAACGGTTGAAGACATTGGCAAAGGTATATGGCAACTCCTTCTGGCAAACAAGATTTCCCAGCTTATGGAGTGCTCCAAAGTCCAGGCAATTGATCAATTCATCACCATTGCAATCCTGGCCATGCTTGAACATATAGCTCTGGATCGTGTCGGCGGCACAGTGGGGATCATTTACGCAATTGGTGAAGGCTAAATGGGGAAATACCAGGGATTATAAAAGAATAATTATATTGTTTGTGGTAGGACTTACCATCCTCGGAAAGGGCTGTATCACCTGGCAGGGTTATCTTGCCCGCCTCCACCCAATAGCCCCAGGTAATCCGAAATATTCCACAGGCGCCATTAACGCAAATGGCGGATGCATTGCAGCCGCTCATTGTCTCACACAAACAGTCCAGGCAATCTTCCGTGACGGGTTTGTTTGTCACTAAAGACACGGAAAGAAAATCTTTATTAATTTACAAATATATTTTAAAAGTTTGTTACTAAATTTGTTATTATAAAATAAAGGCATGTATGAGTGATATACCTTTGAAGTTCCTGAACTTACATTAAGTTTTGTCTCAGTGTTTTGGAGAAATTAAAAACGGGCGGATGTAACTACCCGCTGTATAGTATATATTATATTCCCACAAACAGGCTTTAGTTTACAGCTTTACAGTAAATGGATTACCATAATTATAGAGTGTTCTCTACTACGTACTAAGCCCCAATTAATTGTTTTCTCACTATTCGCACAGTGGGGTCAGATCACATTTACCTGAAAACTACATTATCAATAAGATAATAACCACTTACCCTCATTGCTGGAACCACTGTGGACAGATAGCCACAAAGCAGCCAGACTGACTAGTAGTAACCTATACATAACTGAGCTTCGGATCCGATCCAGAATCGAGAAACCGACCTACCGTCGCCGTGTTGATCACACAACTGATCTGAGTTGGCCGTAGCCACCGGTTTTTTAATAAAACTTAACCCCTACATTAGTAATTCAATATTCGCACATATATAAAGTGGACTCTTCCTCATAATTTACTAATTTATTAAGTTACTATACTGGGTTTAATGCATTCCCAGAATTTCAGGTGGCTTTCTGGCGCTTCTCCGCCCGCAAAGCATCTCGAAGGCAGCGCTTGAAGATGCTCTCATAGGTGTACGGCATATCCGCTTTGCAGTTAAAAGGACCCATATAATGGATGGCTCCATAATCATAGCAATCCTCCGTTTGATCATCATTACAATCCTGACCGTATTTAACCATATAACTTTGCAATGTATTGGCAGCACATATGGGATCGTTGGCACAGTTGGTGAAGGCTGTTAATTAATTAATAAATTATATCGCCCGATTGAAAGTAACTATAAAACTCACAGCTATCCGTTAAAGGCGAGTCCCCGGCTATGGTGAATCGCCCGGAGTCCACCCACTGATCCCAGGTGATCCTGAAGATGCCACAAGCTCCATTCACACAAACAGCCGTATCATTGCAACCGCTCAAGGCCTGGCACATACAGACCAGGCAGGTCTCTGTAATGGGCTGTTGGGTCTCCGCTTGGATCCACATCACTCCAATGGTTAGACCCAGGAGAAAAACAAACAATGATGATTTGATATGCATGCTAGCTGATCTGGGAGAACTATGTATATTCAATGCGAACCGCGATTGTTTGATCACTGAAAAGATTTCAGCTTGCGCTGCTGGTTTTATTAGTAAACACTGAGAGACAGATCGATAGTGACTAATTGCAGCAACAGGAAATAAAGCTAGTCTAGTATTACAGCGGGGGAGATTCCCGGCTAATTTATATTTAACATACAAATTTGTAGGTATATTTGCATACACATTTTCAGGTTAGACAAGACGATATTTATTGGAAAACTGCTTAACAAATCTATAAAATTAATAACCAACTTTGAAAAACTTTAAAATATGGCAAACACTATAAAAAAATAACTATATTTCATTACTTAAATCCCTGATCCTGGTAGTTCTCAATACACTCCTCGAACACACTCTGGTATTTGTAGGGCAAGTCTGCGTGACAGCCATAAGCCCCCGATTTGTGGATTCGGGCATAGTCATGGCAATCCATTTCGCCATCCTCGTTGCAATCCTGATTGAACTTCTTCATATAATTCTGCACCAAGTCGGCGGCACAGTGCGGATCATTGGCGCAGTTCTGGAAGGCATTTTCCGAATCTGGATCCTCGCCATTCACTGTCAGTTTTCCTGCATCCACCCAGTAGGCCCAGGTGATGCGGAAAATGCCACAGGCGCCCTTCTCAGGACTCGTGCATATCGCTGTGGCATTGCAGCCGCTGATTGCCTCACAAATACAGTTGAGACACAGCTCAGTTACGGGTTTATCCAGCACGTGACCTAAAAATTAAATATATGTATATTATATTTCCTTTTAATTCTTGTTAACTAAACTCACCCTGACTTTTAACCAACGAAGGTCCTAGGGCCAGCAGTAAATAAAGAAAATATCCCAGGAAAACTCTCATTCTCCGTCTTTTTATAGTAATAATCTTTCACCTCAGCACCTGAAATACGAATGGCGCTAGAGAAACCCATGAACCGAGTTCTCACCTGGTAAATCTGTCAAGCTGGCGGAAAATACCGGTTTCTAGGGCGCTTTTCAAGTGAACTTTATAATATATTATTAATATTTATGTATTACTATATTATTATATATAGTATTTTTCGAATATTTATAATTTGGAATGCTATACTTTCTGGCTTTTAAATATTCCAAAACTTAAACAACACAAGTTAATTAAATGATTTGTTTTCCGGATTGTGACAGAGCTTTTTAATCACTTCCGAGATGAATACTTCGAAAATGTGGCATACTTTTGGGCTAAGTTCCTCATTTGATTCTTAAGATTTATAAATTAAACTCACATTATAAATTTTTTAATTAATAAATACTAAATATACTAAAAAGATTTAATAAACTTATTCTGTAGCGAAAGAAAGTTTGAAGTTAGATTTCATAACAGAAAGAATTCAATAAACAGTCATTTAATTTTAATTACTTAATTTAAATATCTATATAATTGAAATGTATTTTTAACGAGGAAATTAACCTAAGTCTGTATTCCCTTTCAGTTTAAATTGAATCAGGAGTGGCCCTCTGAAATTGATCATAACTAAACCAAAAATGCATTCAATACGGAAACCTTTTTTATACTGGTTTATATTAGGTTAATAAATCTGTATATTAAATTATATTATAAAAATTTAGTTATGCATTTAAAATTACTTTTTAAAAGTTTTTAAAGAAATTTAGTTAGGCATTTAAAATTACTTTTTAACAAGTGTTTTATTTAAAATAACCAGTCTAGTAAAAATCTTGTAATACATACAAACATACCCATAAAATTTGATATTTTTCAGTATCTTCCAAGCGATTATTCAAGTATCATATAGCAATGCAAATATTGAAACTATGTTCCCCACGTTAGATGAAGATAATGCTAATTTTTATTCCCTTGACACAGTGTCAGTTTATTATCAATCTCAATTGCGCAATCTCCTTCGAATTCAAATGCATTGCCATAAATTATTAATTAATTACAATTAGTAAATATATATTAGTTGGTAGATAAATTTAGCAAGATGATGGGATTAGCCGGAAATGCGCACATCAACACTCTGGAACGAAGTCAGGCAGGTGCCCAGGGTGTTCTGATAATTATAGGCCAGCTCGCCAGTGCAACCATATCCTCCCAGCTTATGGATGGCGGCATAATCGTAGCAATCGACGGCACCATCTCCATTGCAGTCCTGGCCGAACTTGGTCATGTAATTCTGGATGGTGTTGGCCGCACAATAGGGATCGTTCACGCAGTTGGCATAAGCTAAAGGCGATTATGAAGATGATAATAATTAAAGTGCGGAAAACCGGAAAGGAAGGAGGCTGTGGAACTTACCATCCTCAGACTGGGGACTCTCGTTGCCCAAGGTCAGCTTGCCGCCATCGGACCAGTACGCCCAGGTAATGCGAAACAGGCCACAGACTCCACCGCCACAGTACCGGGTCTGGTTGCATCCACTGATGGCCTCGCAGATGCAGCCCAGGCACACATCAGTCACCGGCTTATCTGTTCGGGTGAGAGATCAGATGAATCAAATCAAATCAGCTTCGTATTGAGATTAGCCTCGTCGGAAGCGTAACCAGAGCGAGCTCTAAAAAAAAGCAAAAGCCCGAATGGTGTCACACATACATATTTGCCCAGCCCATGTCATCGCTTTATTCAGAGCATTCGGTAATGTTTGCTGTTTTCTTATATCACTCCGAAATTATTAAAATTTTAACTGAGCAAATATAACCACCCATATTGTTTATTACTTGAAAATAAATATTAAATTCCAATCGAAACAAAATCTCCGTTCTGGCAAATGTATAAAGAATGTATACAAATATATATTTATAAATATAACAACATTTATCGATGGATGGAGAAACCATTCCGCTGATTGCACGCTCATGAACCTGAGCTGGAACGTTCCGTTGAATCTGCCAGCCTCACGTCTACATCTCATTTTTTAACCGAACTAGTTTTGCAACTTTCAATGGCAACATTGAGGCATCTCCGGAGAATAAATCCGGCAGAAACCGAAGGCGTGGATGAGTCAATATATATACATATATATATATATTGGTGTTATCAAGACCTTGTTCTTGTAATTAAATTTTGTATTTATTGTTGTATTTTTAATGGGTATATTCTAGCCTTTGGCTTCACCTACACACACTCCCGAAATCGTGGCAGTTTCTTAGTTCACTGACCTATGCAGAAACAATCTTGAAAGGCGCAAAAAATTGGGTCAAGATTAATAATGTTTTTGGCAATCTGTCGAAAAATTTGAATCTTGAATAATTAATAAATAATAAAAAATATAACAATTTATAAAGTAGAGGAACACAGAGTATTTCCCTGATATAATCGACACGCAGGGTTGAGATAAAGCCCACAGACGTCATCGTTTTGAATTGTCACGAAGGTGTTGGGGTTTTTTTTTATGGCCTAAAACAATAGCATGTCAAACTGCATTGTTAAATTCTATTCCGGAATAGTGAACATTTCAAGGTAATCGACATCCTTTCTACGAAGAATTCAAAGATAATGGATAATGTATTGTGTCAATTAGCCAGTTAAACAATTAGGTTATTAAACAGAAATCCGCGTGAGCTCATTGCACAACAGCAAATATTTAGTGTATATATAATTGATAGATAGTTAGGTATTAACGATAATTCCAATTTATTTCCGCTTAATGTAATGGCCATATAAAATCGGAAGCAATTTCAATGGCAAAACTGCGTTATTGACAGTCAACGAACCGGCCCGGCCTGTGTATCAAATGACAGACGCACATCTCAGATTAAAAATCAATCCGAAACGACGAGCATTAATGGACGTTTTGTCCACGTCTCGAAACTTATTATATGCAAATATATATGGTTAAAAGTATCTGGGAAATCCATCTAAGAACGAAACATGTCTTGTTCGCTGAACAAAAGATACAAATACGAGTATCTACACAATTGCTAATTAATGTTAATGAATGCAGACGATCCGGGTATTTGTATTTCACGTTCAAAAAGCAAATCTATCTCAAATGCGTAACGAATTCGTTTCGAAAACAATAATAAGAACGGAAATGTTCTCGTATATTTTAGTTTTAGTTTACTTACCGTTGGCCTGAATGAGAGCCGCAAATCCCAGGCACAGCAGAGCCCCAATGGCCACAGTGCAGCACAATTTGTTGGCAGCCATTATATTAGCAGTACTTTTGTCCAAAAATGTATTCAATTTTTAAACTGCAACAGACTTAAGTGTAGTATAATCCAGTGATTTTATTGTTTATAGAACCGAACACTAGCGAGCGCGCCGATCAACTGAACTGGGGAGTGCGATGAGCTAGCCTTTTTGGTTGACTAAAGCTCTGGGAAAGCTCGCGAAACGAAAGACTTAAGCTGAGAACTTGAGAGTTGGGGTAGCCAAAGAGATAACTTAAAAAGTTTGACTCGATATTAATAGTATACTTTTGGGAGGGGATTAATATTCAAAGAAGCATGATTAAGATCTAAGTCTAAATAAACAAAAACAAGTTTAAACACTTAATAACTCTATTTCCTTGAAAAACCAATTTCTTAGTTGCTTTACTTTGCTCGATTTATTCAAAATATAAGAGTATCAAGAATCTCAGGTTTAGATCTTGTTGAAGGCAGCAATGTCGACAGACTGGACAAAGTCCTCGAACTCCTCAATCTTCTCCTGCAGCAAATCAATGGACACCTTATCGTCCTCAATGACGCACATGATCTGCAGCTTGTTGATGCCATAGCCCACGGGCACCAGCTTGGAGGCTCCCCACAGCAGACCGTCCATCTCAATGGTGCGCACATTCACCTCCATCTCCTTCATGTCGGTCTCATCATCCCAGGGCTTGACGTCCAGGAGCACGGAGGACTTGGCAATGAGGGCGGGCTTCTTGGACTTCTTGGCGGCATAGGCGGCGACGCGCTCCTGCTTGATGCGCTCAGCCTCCTCATCCTCCTCGTCGTCGGATCCGAATAGATCCACATCGTCGTCATCGTCGGCAGCCGGCTTGGCGGGAGCGGCCACGGTGGGCTTAGCTCCAGCCAGCTGGGGCAGAGGAGTGCCAGTCCATGCGGCACGCTCTGCGGCCTCGAAGGAGGCAATGTGACGGTACCAGCGAGCCACGTTCACGTAGTCACCGGCCGGGGCCTTGCCCAGAGCATCGAACACCGACAGATCGGCCTTGCTGGGAGTGTATCTGCGGGAATTCAAAAGAGATTCAAGTTAAATAATGCTTAAATGGGGAAGCTGTGAGTCTGCCGACGTGGTGCGGTCGTGCCTAACCTCACATTCGAGCTCCGCGTGCTTACCCGCTGATGTAGCTGTTGTCGGCCAGGAAGTTGTTCAACTCCTTGAGTCCAGCGGGGGTCTTCACATCACCGAAAGCCATTTTAAATGCGTTTTTGTGGGGTAAATTCGCGTTTAACAATCAGATGCCGTGCTCTGCGCAACGTTGTCGACGAAGAAAGAAGGTGTGACCGTTCTGACGAGCTGTCAGTATTATTAAAGCAAAGTATTTTTAAAATAAATAAATCTAGATTTTTTTCTAATATATTTTTTAGTTTTGAAAATAAAATAGGTGACTAATTTTACGCAAAACAAGCAAGAAAGCTAAGTTCGACACAATGAAAGATTGCAAAAATAGAACTGCTGTTGATGCAACTTCATACCACAAACGCTTGATAACCCTAGATTGAAAGCCAAGGGCTTAAACTAATTATTTAATTCTAAGTATAAAAACAATATTCGGTAATAAAGATAAAAGCAAAGCTTAATTTAAATTTGTAAATAAGAAGTACATAAAAATAAAGCAACAAATGTTGGTCCCATTGGAATTTTAAAAATTAATTGGTATTTTTCAGTATTTCAGTTTAAGTATATTCAATTTGGTCCCTCTGCTGTCACACTGATGCTACAACAATTTTTTGCAGGCATAATTTTCACCGCAAAGCCGAAAAACAGTGAAAAAACGAAAAAGCTGTTAAAAAAACAAGCCAAACAAGTAGTAAACAAAAGTGCAAGGCAGAAAAAGTCATAAACTGCCGAATATAAGCGGTGAAAACGTTTGTAGCAGTTTTTTTGTACGTGAAAAACTAGAAACGCTTCGGTATTGAATTTTCAACTCGTGGAGAGGGTGAAGTGAAAAAAGTTTTTGGTCGGAAAAAGGGAATCAAAATCACAACGAAACCAGTGCCGAAATGAGTGACTTCCAAACTCAGCAAGCAAGCCTTAGTCAATCTCAGGCGCTGGCCCAGGCAATACAGCGTGCCAAGCAGGTAAGTGGATCCCGGTCCGTCCCTGGGAAGAGGAAGAGAGCCGGAAGCCATGCGTGTGTGTATATATATAACACCATGTTCCTTTTCCCGCTGAACCGCAGATTGCTGCAAAGATACAACCGAACCAACAAGGCGGCGCACCAGTGGGCCCATCGCCACCAGCAGGAGGAGGAGGTCCCGGTCCCGGCGGTAACGCTTTTAAGCGAGTAAACGACGACGGCGACAGTGGGCCCGACAGCAAGCGCTCCTTCGGAAGCCCAGAGTACGCCAACAACTCGAACATGAGCAGTGGTAGCGGAGGCGGAGGCGGTGGCAGCCAGGGCGGTGCCAGCATCACCCAGGCGATTGCCCAGGCAGCGGCAGTTGCCGCCAGACTGGCTGCCTCGGCGGGCACCACCTGCGAGGAGCAGATCCGCATTCCAGACTCGGTGGCCAGTGCCTTTATGGGACGTGGCAGCAACGACACCATTACCCACATCCAGGCCGAGTCGGGTGCCAAGGTGCAGGTGATGCAGGATCAGGATCGCGTTCTGATGCTGCGCGGCCAGCGCGAAACCGTGACCAAGGGTCGCGAGATGATCCAGACAATGGCCAATCGGGGCGGTGGTGGGCAGGTAGAAGTTCTGCTTACCATTAACATGCCGCCACCCGGACCGAGCGGCTATCCGCCGTATCAGGAGATCATGATACCGGGCGCCAAGGTTGGCCTGGTTATTGGTAAAGGTGGCGACACCATCAAGCAGCTGCAGGAGAAGACCGGCGCCAAGATGATCATTATACAGGACGGTCCCAATCAAGAGGTTATCAAGCCGCTGCGTATTTCCGGCGAGGCGCAGAAAATCGAGCACGCCAAGCAGATGGTGCTGGATCTGATTGCCCAGAAGGATGCCCAGACTCAGCAGCAGGGCGGACGAGGTGGTGGTGGCGGCGGAGGTGCAGGAGGTGGAAGTGGAGGCGGCGGGCCTGGCATGGGCTACAACAACTTTAACAACGGCAACGGCGGCGAGAGCGTCGAGGTCTTTGTCCCCAAGATAGCGGTGGGCGTGGTCATTGGCAAGGGCGGCGACATGATCCGAAAATACAAACGGAATGCGGCTGCAAGCTGCAATTCATCCAGGGAAAGAACGACGAGATGGGAGATCGACGGTGCGTCATCCAGGGAACTCGGCAGCAGGTCGAGGATGCCAAACGCACCATTGATGGCTTGATCGAAAATGTGATGGTGAGCGGGCGTCCTCCAGGTGGTCTGTGGATGCCTTTTCTAACAAACTCTCCTGATCCAATAGCAACGCAATGGCATGAACCGAAATGGCAATGGTGGCGGCGGAGGCCAAGGCGGCGGCGACCAGAGCAACTCCAACTACGGCTACGGATACGGGGTGAACCACGCCCAAGGCGGACGGGAGGAGATCACATTCCTGGTGCCCGCTTCAAAGTGTGGAGTAGGTTTCATAACAAAATACATATTTGCAATTTTCTAACTATTTTCCACCGTTTTCAGATCGTTATTGGTCGTGGTGGCGAGACCATTAAGCTGATCAACCAGCAATCTGGAGCCCACACGGAAATGGATCGGAATGCCAGTAATCCGCCCAACGAGAAACTCTTCAAATCCAAGGGTACCACCGACCAGGTGGAGGCAGCCCGCCAAATGATCTCCGAGAAGATAAATATGGAGCTTAATGTCATCTCCCGCAAGCCCATCGGCGGAGGAGGTGGCAACCAAGGAGGCGGGGGCCAGAACAACTCACATCACAATCAACAGCAAGGCGGCGGCTATGGTGGCCCGAATCAAATGCAAGGCGGCGATCCTAGCGCAGGACAGGGCTATCAGCAGCAACAGCAGCAGCCCTGGGGAGGTGCTACCTACGGCCAGCAGGGCTGGGATCCGTCCGGTCAGCAACAACAGCAGCAGCAGCAACAAATGGCAATGGCAGCCAATCAAGGTGGAGCTGCTGGAGCAGGAGCTGGAGCCGGTGGTCAGGATTACTCAGCTCAGTGGATAGAGTACTACAAGTGAGTTTAAGAAGATAATGGAATTTTGGGAGTTGTATGTTTAATAAGATTCAGAATTCATTAGACGTGAAATAGCCCTTATAAACGTTTTGAAATATTTTAAATTTTCAGACAAATGGGCTGCCATCGAGAGGCTGAGATGATCGAGCAACAGATGAAGGCCAAGCAAGCTGGCGCTGCCGCTGGTCCTGGTCAACAGCAACCCCAACAGCAGCAGCAACAGCCCCAACAACAAGCACAGTCCCAACAGCAGGCAGGAGGTGCCAGTGGAGCTGGAGGAGCCGATTACAGTGCACAATGGGCGGAATATTACCGCAGTGTGGGAAAGATCGAGGAGGCTGAGGCCATTGAAAAGACGTTAAAGAACAAGGTAGGAGGTCTACACATGTTCCTTATAATTGCATTTAAACTAATGGTATATTAATTAAAATAGTCACAGAATGGAGCCCCAAGCGGTGGGCAGAATAATGCACCCAATCCAAGCCAGGGCGGTGGACCCAATCCCGGCCAGCAACAACCCAACCCAGCCGCAGCGGCGGCAGCAGCAGCAGCAGCTGCTGCGGCGGCGGCAGCAGGCGGATATGGACAGAGCATGACACCCAGCCAGTACGCACAGTATTCGCAGTATTATGCGGCGGCAGCTGCTGCTGGTGGCCAGCCGCAGGGAGCGCCGCAGCCAGGCGGTGGTCAAAGTGGCGGTCCGCCTGCGGGTTATCCTGGAGGCTATCCAGGCGCTGGCTACGGCGGCTATCCTGGAGCGCCTGGGCAACAGCAGCCAAAATCGCACAAAAACGACAAACACTGAGAGCGTTAGAAGAGGAGGGAGCAGGAGCGGGGAGTGGGAGTAAAAGCTGAAGTGGACGAAGCTGCGATGGGAGGGCGATGCAGGTGCCTTGCATGGGGTGAGTTATTCCCAGTTGCTGGTAGTGGAGTGTGTATTTTACAAATCAATTTGAATTGAACTTGAATTTACCGCCTTTGTAATTTTCCTTTACGTATTTTATTGATTTATCTATCTGCTTCTGAAAAACCTGCTTAGTTTTAGAACAATGCATCTACCCTCTACATTTTACACACAATAATGGGTTATTCGCAGTCCTCTAAATGACCATACGAAAATTTTCATTTTGAAATTCTTCTTCAGATGGTTAGTAGGTTAACTCGGTCTCTAATCTATGATTTATTTCAATTGAGAAGAATTGTAGTTGTATATAGATTTATTTTGTATAATTTGCCTATGCTCAGCTGAGAAACACTGACCCACATCTTATATTCTATATAAATGTTGACTTTTTATAATGCTAACCAAATCTTATTTACCATGCGTAAAAACTCTTTGCAGTGATCTATTGTTCTACTATGTCCTATGTCTTTTATCCCCCATAAAAAGCAAAACAGAAAAAAAAACTAGCAAATCCGAAAAGAAGATTTTTAATTGCATTAAACAGCCGAAAAACAACAGAGCAACATCACCCCAAGGACAGAGACAACACATGGCAGAGGTGGAGGAGCAGGAACGGAGTCAATAAATTGAAAAGTGCAACATTGAACGTTTAGCTTGTGCCGTCGCACTTTTACATAAATGTAAATGAATATTATTATTAACATGTGTCTATAATTTGGATATTGCCTATAACTTTCCCCACTAGAACCGTAAGCACCTTCCCCCGAGAACCTAAGTCTATCATTACCAACTATCTAACTATCTATAAATCTAACATAATAATATTGCTGATGATCATGATCACCATTTGTACAGACACAAAGAAGCGAATTATGACAATGTTTTGGGTGTTTTTATATGATTTCTCTCACTTTCACCGTCAATTTAGGCAAGTCGAAACATCCGCAGTCTCCTTTTAATAACGTTTGGGAAAGACAATTCCCAATTGCAATAATACTAAAATACTATATACATATATATCCTTAGGGGCTTAAGCCTTAAAAGATAACGAACGTTTTGATACATGAAACCATTTTCACGTAGCCTAGCTTAGTTTGTAATACAAAAACCATTTGAACAACATGAGAGATCTGCAATTAAACACGATCAACGACATCTGCTGATCTGGTAAGATAATTAATCTGTAATCGAAACTTATTCATATAACATTTACAAAAGCGAGGGCCTTGTTCAAAGTGGGTTCTTTCTATTGATAATATTTTCGCCTTTCAGTTGGTTCTTCATTCTTTATAGCTGTAAGGTGAAACTGAATTAACTTATTATAAATTATTTCCTGCTCTACATATATTTATGTACTATTGCAATTAATATTTATCCTTAAAAGAACTCAACTCATTTACGAGCAGGAAAATCATGCTTGTTTTAATATATTTTTAACTATATTATCATATACAAACATATAGTATGTTCTTTCAGAGTCAGAGGCCGCTCTCCAGACGAGTTCAAAACAGAATTACGAAATGAAAAACCCCAAAACTTTCTCACACTATATAAACCCCTAACGAACATGAACAAATATACAAAACAAGATATTGTAAAAGTGTCAAACTTGGTAAGATCATCGTGTGTTGTTGTTACTGTCTATATACAATTAAACATACTTATTGCAATTGAACATACTTACCCAAAATGAATGTAGGTCTACCATTATTTATAAATACCACTTTAAAATAATCTACATTAAGTTTTACGTCTCCCCAAATATCTGATTGTTGCAACAGCAGATCAACCATATATATTGTAACCGTTGCCGGCTCAGATCGGAATCCAGATCAAGATCCTGATCCGCCCTGCAGTCGGCAAAACTTTGAATAAACATTTAATATATACCATATAATATATATCCATATATATAAACATATTATCAGCATATGGCATTTCGGTGCTTTGTGCGTCCTATTGCGTTTCTATTTATTATATTTATACCCGTTACTCCTAGGGTCAAGGTAAAGTATTTATTTGAATCTCGGGATCTATAGGTCCAAAAGCTACGAAAACTGGTATGCAGGTTCCTCTGAAGATCATATTTATATATACTAAAAGTCCACAAAATAATAGGAAAGTTCTGGAAGTCATGAACAAAATAAATTATTATTGGACCACTGAGTAGCGGGTATCAGACAGTCGGTGTATTCCGACTGTATCCGATATTACCAATTTTATTTTGAAACCCGTTTCTCGAGCATATTTGCAGAGGCTCTTGTTCTTGGAGATGAAATCTGGGGGATCAGGAGAGGCTTTAACTTTTCCTAGTCGATTGGTCGATTGAAAACCACCTTATTCGGTATGCTTTGGATATTGGAAATATATTTTTATATCAAACTGCACATTTATAATATTGCTAACTTTGATTATCCTGAATATTCTATCTATATATTATTACTATCTGTGAAATTTTCGTATACAACCTATATATATATATAAAATTTTATATATTTTCCTAGCAACTGCAACGATATTCGATTTCCCGAACAGTGCTCTCTCTATATTACTTAATTCAGTGCTGTATTTTTGTGAAATATCGTTGTAAGGTATCATTTGCTTGCTATATAAGCGGTTTACATTGGCTCCCAAGCCTGTCCTATATTTTTATTGTTACATTTAGTATACTATATACTATATATATATTTTAACTAACAACAACTCCTATGATAAGTGTGGCAAAATGTTAGGGTTTGAATACCATCCAAATTATGAATGTAAAAAGACTACATATGTATATGGCAGTTTGAAGAAAAGTAGCTCAAGTTTTACGTGATTTTGGGAAGTCGTTTCTCTTTCTTCTTTTAATTCCAGAAAAGGGTTCCTAGATGGTCTTACATAAAGTGGTAAGTATGACTATATACTAGATGTAGTGCGTTCTATAATCCATTTTGTTGAGCATTTCTTTTGGGTCCAATGTCAAGCCGTTTATTTTGCAATCAAATGATATATATATTTTTGAAATTGACATTTCTGCATACATTTCCATTTATATTTGATTTAAATTACGTGCTTTAATCTATTTGCAGGACCAATTGAGAGAAAAGTTTATTATATTTCCATATTCTCATTGACATATGTATTTTTACCAGAAATTATTGCAATATTTTTCATTGATATATATATGTATATATTTTTTAACATTGAAAACCTTTATTTATTTAACTGAATCATGACTGACTATCTGTGTGTTTCAGCCCTATGTCACCGTGATATCTTCCAGTATCTGAACCGATATTAGTTTTAGCTTCCGAAGTAGTTCCTTAACCGTTTTATGTACAATTAAGTGTATTACTAGTAATACTTTTCCCATGTCACCGATATATTCATATATTCAAATTTCAAAATAAACTTTTCCAATTACGACAAGAAACCCGATATAAAGTTTATTTTCCACGTGGAAGAGGTGATTTCTTAGGGTTTCTATTGTTTTAGGAAACATACCTCCCATTGCCATTTAATCCGCCAAATAATAATCACAATTTCACTTAATTTGTAGCATTTTATTACTGGATACACTGCAATTATTTTTTTTGTTTTGATTTTTTCTTTTAGCACTTTGCAGCGAAACATTGAAAGTTAAAACAGAAACTCATTCAGAGGTTTTGGGCAATTCAACATACAGACATACATCGAGTTATTTCTTTTCTTTTTCGTTATTTATTTACGAGTTTACTACAAGAAAACTTACACTGAGATGCGGCTGTGATAAGATTCAAACTGATTTTGTTCATTGTTGTAATTTCTGTTAGCTTGATATCCGGTTGTTTTTTTAATTCTTGTACTCCCTTTTTCTCTCACTTTTAAAATTAACATACATCTATTTTTACTTCGTTTATATCCTAATATTTATAATATTTAACTTTATTCTTTATTTTTCTCTTTCCGTTTTGTCAATCTTTTGTTTGTTTATTTTACTCACACTGGGGTGTGAGCTTGTCTCTAGTTGCATTACATTGCCGAGAAACCTTCCTCCTATCGTCGATCACTAAGGCCAGAGCTCTTTTTTTGGGCTGGGGATATCGAAATTATGGGATAGAAATGAATATCTGGGACGTCTGCTGGGGAAATCACTCGCTCCGCTTTAGTGTGTATTTTTCTGTGTGCCTTAAGACTACTTGCTGCCCAAAAAGCTACTTTTTTTACATTGCCAAAAACGTTTTCTGCAAGTGTTTTCATCCATTTTCGTTTTTGTACTGCTGCCAGTGTGTGAATATTTTTTTCCATGATTTTATCAATTTGTAATTTTGCTTTTTGTTTATTATTTCTCGTGGCTTAAATTTAAATACATCATTGAACGTCAAATCAAAATGCACTAGTTTAGATTTGCTTTATCGGATTTTTACAAGTTTATCTTTCCTTTCTCTTAATGTACACACTTTTTGTGCAGAGCTGTCCAAATCGGAAAAAACGTGTATGTGGATGTGCAGAACTGGACAAATAAGAATTGTATATATACATTTGAATATATATAAGAGTGGATAGTCTACTGCCGCTGACGCTAGGTTTAAGGTTAACTGCAGATAGCTTTTAGGATAGGAGTACAAATTATATACTTATAGGACAACTACTAAGAGTAACTCTTTTCTTGAACTGCGCCCGATGTTGTTCTGTCTCGGCAGTTTTTGAAAAGTGCAGCAAACAATGTGTTGACTTTGATGTCGCCACTTGTTTTGTTTGTCTACAGGACCTGGACCCTCCCCCGTCGTCATCTCTACATAGTCTATGTCGCAATTAACTGAAAGATGATAAATTGTTTAAAATGATATTCGCTTATACCAATGGATATCGCTTACCGCTTTGACTGTGGACTTAATAAAGTCTTTCTTTTCTGTTAGATCAAAGTCTGGATATTTCGCATACACTTGCTTGCACACTGTTTTCATGGTAATCTCCTCTAGATTGGCTTTATCCAAGATCTCTTTGACATAGCCGCGTATTTGTTCATCCTTTAATAAGAATGAAAGATAAGGTATTTAAAATATATCAATATCATATATCCTAGATGGGTAATTTACCGTGGGGAATGCCTGTTTGCCCTTTTTGGTTAGTGGCTCGTCCTCGTCGGATTCATCCTTGTCATCGACATCATCATCATCTTCCTCGGACGACTCCTTCTTTGATTTCTTCGATCGGCCATCTTTGATAATGAAAAAAAAAACAATTAAAAAAGGCTCTTGTGGGATTCTTTTGTGGACTTACCCTTTCCAGCTGGTTTTGACTTGTTATTAGCTTTGCTATTTTTCGCAGGCGCTGTGGGTTTCTTACTCTTTTTGGGACGTTCCTCCTATTTGAAAATAAATGTCATGAAACTATTGAATAATCTATTAAATTCTTATGGCTTACCTCGCTTTGATCACTACCAAACTCGGACAGCTCCTCCTCCTCCTCATCTTCGGATATATCCTCTTCTTCGCTATCGGAATCCTTGCGCTTTCGCGCCGCTGCTCCGCGTCCTCTGCCTCTTCGTCCAGCTGGCGCAGGTGCCGCTGGCCGTCCACGTTTGCCCACTGCACCCCGCTTGCGTTTCGGGACCTGTATAGGTGATAAAATTCAAAATAAATAATGGATATCATTCATTAATAGATCAACTTACATCACTATCAGCCTCGGACAGTTCGGATTCCTCTTCCTCTTCTGAATCAGAGTTTCTTCGACGACTCTTACGCGCCGGACGACCACGACTGCCACGACTGGGGGCTTTACGTGCAGCTGAACCTCCTCCACCACCACCACGACCGGCATCAGAGTCCGAATTGCCCGAAGGATTGTACTACAAAAGAATATAAATAATTATAAAATCTCCGAGATTTATAAAACAAAACTCGTCTTACATCTGAGCCAGATTCGGAGTCATCATTGCGTCTCCTCTTGGCCACAGCCACTTTGTGCTCGCTCTCCTCAGAGCTGGAGAAATCAACATATGCGGACATTTCTGCAAGCAAAACCAAAATTAAATTAGCTTCAGAAAACAAAAATTAAGTCTGCGATGATCTTACTTTTTCCTGCGGTGGAACGTCTGGGACGTCCAGCGGAGTTGCGCGCCGAGCCTCTGCCAGCTGGTCCACTGGACTTGCTGCTCTTGCGCTTCTTGTCCTCCTCACTGGGCGGATCCTCCTCATCCTCATCCTCGTCCAGATCCTCTTCCTCGGCATCTTCCTCGTCCTCGTCGCCCTGCTCCAAGCAAAGCGATTCATCGGGTTCCATTAGGAATTTGAGCACACGAAGCACAATCTCGTTTTTGCTGCCCTTGCGATCGAGCACGAGTATCTCACATATGCTGCGCAAACCCTTGTTATCGACTTTTTTGATAGACTCCAGCTTCTTGTTGTACTCTGCCGAATCCTTGGCGAACTCGAAGCCGGCAAAGGAGCGCAAGTTCTTCTTCACCACATTGTTCTTGCCCTGGGCACCAAAGCAGAGCTGAAAACAAGACAACGGATATTAGTATTTGTATTCAGTTAAGATTTGTTGTGAAGCTTACTGCATGTAGGGTTTGGAGCCCATCCACGCGGGTCTTGTTTATGTTCTCGTTGATGCGATCGATCTCGGCAAGAGCCACGACATTTTCATCATCCTCGGCTACCTCGTTGTTCTTGTCCAAGCCATCGTTCTCATCACCATCAGCATCATCCTCAGCGTCGTCATCATCCTCTTCATCGTCATCGTCCTCCGTCTTGGCCACCTTGCCGTTCTTGGCTTTTGTCGGTTCGGCCTTCTTAGCCTTTTCAGGTCCTGCCTTTGGCTTTGCCTCATCTGTGGCATCCTTCTTCTTGTCATCAGCTTCCGGTTTGGCCTTCTCCTTCTTGTCACCATCATCCGCGGCGCTGGCCTTTTCATCTTCATCCTCGTTCTCATCCGGCTCATCGCCATCCTCTGTGTTTTCATCATCCTTGTCGTCGTCCTCCTCCTTCTTAGCAACATCCTTGTTGTTACTAGATTTCTTTACAGCCGGCGAGGGAGATTTCTCCTTTTTGTCCGCAGCGGCTGATTAAAATAATAAAAATAAATTTGAATTATACCATTAAAATTGCAATATATAACAAGTAAACATTAAAAAAATATCTTCATGCTTGGGAAGTCCAATGCTAGGCTTTGGGAGCGCAAGGAACTATGAAATCTGAAGTTTTGCTGTACCTCGACTCTTACTACGCACAATCCATATAGAAGGATTTAGCATGAACAATAGCCAAGGAGAATATTGATAGAAATATCAGAATTTGCATAGTTTTCGAATAAAGTTTTGTAAACATTCGCTCGAAGAGGGCTCGAACCGCATGCCGCAATACCATATAAACAAGAGACGGAACGACGCGTTAGACCGGAGCGCCACTACGAAGCTCTCCCAACACGTAGATAAACACCAATTGGAATCCCAAAGGGTATGAGGGAGAGAGTGAGAACAGAATAAGAGAGCAAAGCACACGAGCCCCCCCGGGAGGGAAAGAGAGGGACAACAAGAATAAAGTTCGCCGCGTTTCTGAAACGCGCGCAAAATTCATTTTATGATTTTTGTTTTTCTCTCTCGTTCTTAGCTCGCACACACACACACTGACAGGTTGCGGCTGTGTGCGCGTGGCTTTTATTTACCTGCATCCGATTCGGGAGCTGGAGCTGCCGTTGCGTCTCCTTTGGCTTTTTTATCAGCGACGTCATCAGTGGCCGCAGCAGAGGCGTCGACATCGGCAGCGGCAGGGGGTGTCACTGCATCGGTGGCTTTTTCGGCTTTGGCCTCCCCCGTGGCGCCCGCTGCATTTTCCACATCGCTTACCTTATCGGCGGCATTTTCGTTGGCTGCCGTATCTGCCGCTTTGTTAGCATCCTGCCGATGATATGGGAACATGGAAATATACAAAAATCACTTTGAATTACACTTGCTAATTTTTGGCGGCCTCTACCATGGGTTTTTGTGCGTTTTTATTCGGACCAAGAGTGTGTTTCCACGGCGGGTTTGTGTATGCGTGTCTTTCTCCGAGCGAGAGGAGAGGCGATAGAAATTGAAAAAACAACATTGCAAATCTATGAGCGGTCACACACTCGCCATCCCGCTCACACGCACGTATTTGTCGGTGGCCCGACGAGCGCAACGACGCCATGTTTATACACACATAAATGAGCGGGGAGAGAACGATAGTCAGGCACTTTGGTGGCACGGTGTCGGAGAATTTGTTGCGCTTTATTTACACACAAAACACCTTTCCGATCGAGCCGTTTTCTATGCGCCCCGCTTGCTTGCACTTTCCGGCGAGTTTTTAATTCTTTTTTAGCAATTTACATACCATATTTCTAATGGTTTTTCTGTTTTTTCGTCAGCCGACACACATTCAATCTGGTCACTAGAAGTGGTGCGATAGTATCGCAGGCGGCAGGTACTAAAAAATGCCACGCCGCATAAAGGGTGTTCTTCTGTGGCGTAGTTTTGGTGGGCTTTAAAGGGGGCTCGATATGCTAAATTTATAATTATGTAATTTTTTATAATATGAGGGGACAAAAACAATGATTATTAATGCTTTCTTCAAGCAATGGAGTTATTCACTTGGATAAACAAAGAATTCAACGAATTGTCCACTATTTGGTTTTTCTTTTACACCCACCGAATTTTGACTTCAGATTCCATATACATTCATCTCATTTTAAACTGTTATTTTTGAAGATTTATTTAATTGCTGAAATAATAATTGTTGTTATTGTGACAAAAGAAATCAAGCTGAAAATATAATATACAAGCATTATTTTTTCGATCAAATTATCTGACATAATATAATTTCTTTATTTTAATATTTTATTTTGAAAATTTTGTATTTAACTTTATAAAGTATTAAAAGGTGTTCCCATTAATATTTGTAACGCTTTATTTTGTGAAAATTTGATTTTATTAAATTTATAATACTTTAATTTTTTATTTATTTTATTTTTTTAAATAAAATAAAAGTCAAATAGTTATTATTTATGACATAGATAAATTATTATTTGTAAGTATATTATTGCAGAAATAATATTTACTTTTAGTGTAACGAAATCACGATAAAAATCTTTGTGGTTTGAGCATTGCCTTTTACCTCAAAAATTGCTTCATATTAAAGTTTTTTTTATAAGAAGTTTTTATTGAAAATGTTATATTTAACCATAGTACAGTCGATATTGCGATCATTTTTAACTCTTTTTGTAAGGATTTGATTATTTTCATTCAATTATTCATATTTTCTTCGAGAAATTACATAGGATTAAATTGTAATTTTTTATAGGAAGCCAAAAATATTTAATTTCAATAGATAATCATTAAATGTTGATTTTTGGTTTCCCACTTATAATCATAATAGTCCCAATAGTCCTGATTATGTTTAACTCATTTTAATGGGCTAAATTTTAATAAATTTAATTTTATAAAATTACAATTGTGCTTGCTATTGTGCTGGTTTTTGTCATTTCGGATTTCTTGAGCAACGGTCTCACTGACAGCAAAAAGCGCGCGGCGTGTTTTTGCAAACAAAACATTCTTGGCAAATTCTGGCGTTACCTTCTATTTATTTATATTTTACTGATTAGGAATAACGGGGCTGCCATGGGAATTTTAGGCTTATCCAAGCTTATTGCCGACCTGGCCCCACAGGCCATTCGTGAAAGTGAAATCAAGAACTTCTTCGGTGAGCGACCTAAATTTTTTTAATTATAGAACTAATTCCTGGTTTGTATTAAATTCTTTTTAAAGGTCGAAAGGTGGCCATTGATGCTAGTATGTGTCTGTACCAGTTCCTCATCGCTGTGCGTGCCGAGGGCGCCCAGTTGGCCAGTGTAAATGGCGATCCCACCTCCCACTTGATGGGCATGTTCTATCGCACCATCCGTTTGCTGGACAACGGAATCAAGCCGGTGTATGTTTTCGATGGAAAACCTCCAGATCTAAAGTCCGGGGAGTTGGCAAAGCGAGCTGAGCGAAGGGAGGAGGCGGAGAAGGCTCTGAAAGCTGCCACGGATGCGGGAGATGATGCCGGCATTGAGAAGTTTAATCGTCGATTGGTGCGCGTAACCAAGGATCACGCCAATGAAGCCAAGGAGTTGCTCCGCTGATGGGTGTGCCCTATGTGGAGGCTCCCTGCGAAGCGGAGGCGCAGTGCGCTGCTTTGGTCAAGGCGGGCAAAGTTTACGCCACTGCCACGGAGGATATGGACGCTCTCACCTTTGGCTCTACAAAACTGCTGCGATATCTTACGTACAGCGAGGCACGCAAAATGCCCGTCAAGGAGTTCAGCTACGACAAGCTGCTGGAAGGTCTGTCTATCAACAGCCGGGAGTTTATCGATCTCTGCATCCTTCTAGGCTGCGATTACTGCGAGAGCATCAAGGGCATTGGACCCAAGCGAGCGATTGAGCTGATCAACAATTACAGGGATATCGAGACCATATTGGACAACTTGGATACCAGCAAATACACAGTGCCCGAGAACTGGAACTATAAGGTAGCGCGCGAGCTCTTCATCGAACCGGAGGTTGCTAATGCCGAGGCCATAGATCTCAAGTGGACGGAACCCGACGAGGAGGGTCTGGTCAAGTTCCTCTGTGGTGACAGGCAGTTTAACGAGGAACGTGTGCGCAGCGGTGCCAAGAAACTGCTCAAATCGAAGCAGGCACAGACCCAGGTGCGACTCGATAGCTTCTTCAAGACCCTGCCCAGCTCTCCGAGTGCCATCAATGCCGCCAAACGGAAGGCCGAGGAGGCCAAGAAGAGTGCCAACAACAAGAAGGCCAAGACCAGCGGTGGTGGCGCTCGTGGCAGAAGACCGAAGTAGGAAGCTAGGTTTGTGGTCTGGAAAAAACATACAATTCTTTTTAATATTAAACTTATCCGTATTTAAAGCCTACGCATACAATAATAAAAACTACATCTTTGAGCTTAATCCTAGTTGGTCTGCTTGTGGGCGCGGTGAGGTTGGGATGTTGGATTATGGATATATTGGATTTTGAATTAAGAGCTTGGATTCCTAAGGGGCTGGGCTGTGTGGGGGGACTACAGCAAATACTGCTTGGCCAGGGCTCGCAGAAATCGTGATTTCCGTACCATGGCGCTCTCTCGTTTGATCTCCTCGTTGTTATTAGCGTTCAACTCCAGGGTGCCCATCATGGAGATCTGTATTATTAAAAAGTAAATAGATAAATACAGGTTTTTAATGGTTTTTAGTTACCACTTACCGCTTCCAGTTTCCGACTATGCTCGCCACGTTTTGCGTGCAGGTTTACTATGAACTCCAGCAGCGTGGTGTCCCAAATACAGCTATAATACGCATCCATGGCGTCCGTAAAATTCGAGGACTTCTCACTGAGATTCTTGAATACAATGCCGTAGTCGATCTCATCGAGAAACTGACACAGAACGGTGGCCTGCATGTGGCAGCCGAGATTGGCGGCACACCGAATCATCTTGCGGATGACATAGTCATCGGCCACATTCCTTTGCAGCGGCATCGTGCAGTAATCCGTCCCAGTGACCAAGGCATTCACATAGCAGCGCATGGCGGATTCATTGTTGCCAATGGCCAAGTCCAGGTCGCCCTTCATCTTCAGCCAGGATATAGTCTGAGGATAGTAGGCGAGGGCCTCGGAAAGAAGCCATTGCAGGATCTCACAGACGCTCCTCAAACTGTAGCTGATCGGACTGAAAAGAAAAGGGCAGGGATTAGCTAGGAATCATTGCATTTAAAAAGCAACCTTCTCACTTGGTAATGCTGGTGGGCCACAGCTGCATGTACTCGCAACTCAGATCGTGATTGGGGTCGTCCTTGAGGATGTTGTGGATCTTGCCCAGCATGGAAATGGCCAGACCGAAGACGCTTTGGTGACGGATGCGTTGCAGGAAGGCCTGTAGGAGCTGATCCCACCCATACCCGACGAAGCCCGTTTGGGTACATTAAGGAACATGCTCAGCATGAGTTCCCAGGAATCGCGACACACCTTTTTGGGTCCCTTCATCTTTTCCATCTCGATGAAGGTGGCGGCGAAGGCCAGCGGCATTTCCAGCGGACCCGCCCGCTTGTCCAGGTAAAGTAGAGGTGGGAATTCCGTGAGGTTGAGCAGCATGATCGCGCAGCTTTCGAGGATGTCCGGCCGTGGGATTATTGAATCTCCCGCCTGCAGGGCCCCCAGGCATTGCTTGCACCTACCGCTGAGTGCTTGGAGATCCAGCGGCTTCTGGTGCCACTCTTCCAGGCATTGCGTAATCTGAATATGCAGGATTTCCCAGGTGAGCAGCTTGCACATTAGCTGCACATTGGCCGCCATTTCCTGCCGTTGCGTTTCCGACTTTAGCACACTCAGCATAGACACCGCATCGATATAGTTGCCCCTGATGGCGAGTTCACGTGCTTTTCCCAGCAGCACATAGCTGAAATCCTGCAGGAAGCTAACTGGCATGGCCATAATTAATGCTTTCAGGGGCTGCGGCACATCCCAGCTGGGATTGATGGCCCACAGAGGTTTGGCAGGTGCCGTGCCGCATAGTTTCACCAGCAAGATCCGCACTGTATTGGCACTGGTGCAGGTGATAAGTTGACGTTCCAAGGCTCCGACATCTATTCGGTTCACTGGAGTAAAGAAAAAGAACGTAAGTCAAGCTTAGTAACATTTAAACTCATGGATATACTCACTCTTTGAGTGACACATCCAGTCGGAGAGCGACGCCAGCGAATTCGTCGGTACTGGTGGTGCTGCTTGTAGCATCTGCTCGTCCAAATCCTTAAGCTCATCTGCCGTGAAAAGACCAAACCCCCGCACTGTCTGCAACAGTGGTCGGGACTGTCCTCCCTGATGCATCAAGCAATCGATAAGAAAGTGCTTTAGCGCCTCCTGCTCTTTGGGACTACAGTGGCCCAGCACTTCCTGAAGGGCTTCCACTAGAGGAGGCAGGCAGTCCAGTTCCCGATACTTTTCAAAATACTCCACGCTGCCAAAGATGCTCCCCCACTCGAAGATATTCCGCACGACATTTAACGCAGCCACCTGCAGCTGCAGCTGGATAGTTTCCTTGAGCAAGCCCGTGGAGAGTGTGCCCTCGATGTCCAGTTCCAGTTGCCTTCGACTCACAAGTGGAATTTCCCTGGCTTTATTATCTAACCGCAGGATGGGCACAATGTCAGCATAATTGTTTAGCAGGATTGTTGAAACCGTTCCAGGAGAGTCTGAGCCTGGGCGCTGATTCCACAGGCTTGCAGCAAGCCCTCTAGCTCCGCCGGTCGTATGTGACAGAATGGAACGTGACCTGTGTGGGTATGGCCTGCAAATTGCTGTTGCAGGCGGCGGCCGCTTCTCGGGCCAAGACATACTGCTTGGTGTACAGGTAGTACTGAGCTAGCTCATAGTGTAGCTGGGCCCGCAGCTCCTGTGGCGTAATTAAATGCATTAGATCATAGTTCTGTCCAGTGCCCAGATCGTCGCACTGCAGCGTTACGAAGCTGTCGTAGTGGAAGACGTAGAAGGGCTTCGCTGAGGTGCACAGCTGCTGCAGATACTCGATGGAGGGCTGTGTGGGTGTCTCGAGGAACTGCTGCAGTTGATCTATAGTTTGGTACCTGAACGGAGGGAAAGTAAACTATTTAGCAGGCGGGAACGGAGCATCGCTCTGGACCTACATATTAGGGGACGTTGTGTTTTCAGAGCCTGTTCCTTAATGAGCTGTAATCGCAGCAAAAGTCGGTGATATATGGTCAGGGCGAACCTCGCTGCTTTCTCATTGCCAGCCGCAGCTAAGGAGATATTCATGGATTATAAATACAACTTGGAATAATCCTATATAGCAACCCACTCACATATCTTCATGTCGAATTCACTAGGCAGGGGAATACCCAGAGGACGTCCATAGCTAATTGTGCAGAGATCTCGCAGCAAGCCAACTGCATAAACACCGGCAGGTTCTTCTCCAACGCGTCCAGATCCCACTTCAGCCAGGTGGCCACCTTAAGCTCCAGAATCTTGAGGGCTAGCTGTTTTCTCGTCAGCTGCAGACCATTCTCTCCCGCCAATTGTGAAATTGGTGGCACAATCAGAGCAGCGGAGCGGCGGGTGTGGGCGCATTGGCTCCGCCAACCACGCCGGGAATGGGACCGCCGGAACCGGGAACCGTTAAGCTCTGCAAATCGCTGCCCGGCGTCACCACTGATGCCATTGCCGTGTCTGGTGTCATGCTAATAAACTGCATAATCAACTCCATGGCGCTGGGTTCTGGAACGAAGAGGGTTAACCGTCATAATCATCAGAAAACCGAATGATTCCACAAGTGATTCGGCCTTACCGGGATGCGGGCGTTGCAGGTGCTGCGTTATCTTGTGCGGATCGAGCAGAAACTCGAACCACAGCACCGTCTCGGCGGCCAGCGGCACGGGCTTCGGCTTGAGCGGATCATCCATTCTAAGTCCTTCCCGTAATCACCAATCAAAACAAAAATTAAACAAAATCTCGTTCAACAGCGCTGCATGGCGAAATGTATCGATGACGAGACAGCTGGCGCTCATATTTGCAGTTCTTCGGGCGAACGGTCACACTGCAAGCTTGCGGTCTCCCTTCTTTGCCGACAATACTCAAATTTGCGCTCTATGTGCGTGATTTCCGACTATCGTTAAATGTAGTGCACAGCCGGAAACGGAAATTGCGATCAGTCACAACTATTTTTCTAAGCGTGTAGAAAAACGTAATTGAAATTCGATTTTAAATTAAAAACAACTACTACATAGTATAGGATTTATTTAGTTCTTGATTTTTATAACATTTTTATATATTTGGACCTAAAAGCTTTCTGAATTCAAATTAATGATTTTTTGATTAAGTTATGAGTTTTTTTTAAACGTTGATTTGTGATATAAAAATTCAATAAATATTAAGTAAAGGAATAAGAATATTTTAAATTTTTTTACTATGCGATTCATTCTGATTTGATCCTATAATTCATTTGCAAGCTTCGTCTTTCCGAACTTAGTATCCTTTCTTGTTATTTGATCTGATTGTACAAAAACTGAACTTCTATTTTATGCAGCATTCAATTTAAAATTCTGTCTCGACCTTTTTTACTTGACACATTTTTGGTTTTATCTGCGCCTCATTGGGCGTCATAAAATTCTAATTTATATCGCCTTTTCACATAAATCGATGGACATAATAATAATAAAAAACAACAAACAGAAAACGATCAAAGGGAAGTACCTAATCATTCCGTACTGTCTTAGACATTTGATTTTTGTTGTTGTTCATTAAAAATGTAAAATAGCTTGAAAAACTATTCGGGTAATTTATGCAAATATTTATGTTTGTTGAATTTCGAGTGAGTTGCTCTAAAGTTGGACTGTCTTCGACTCTTTAAGCTCGATTTCGTTGGAGGGCACTGTGAGAAAAATATGAATATTTCACATTTATTATGGATATTAATTCCTGTTCCTATGGCTACCTTTTTGCCAGTGTAATGAAGCTCTAACTTCTCCCAATTTTATAGTTGTCTCTGTTTTTTTAAAGCCGTCTCTGATGGTGAACTTTATGAGCATTTCTCGGGGCCCCCCGATAATCTGAATCTTAAAAAATATTTAACGTTCAATCAGGTGATTTTATGCAAATTACACGTTTCCAATTTAATACATATGCATGGCATATATGCTGTGACGGTGACTGTGACTCTGTCTTTATGGCATTTTTCATCTGCTTATGAAGATTTGTCTCAGTGGATGAGACTGGCCGGGGCTGGGCACGTCAAGGCTTCCTCCTCTAGAAAACAAATCCGACGGAATGAAATTTCGAAATAGAAATATATTTTATTTCTGGGGTCACGATGGGCGATAATCTTTTTACTTTGTTGTCTCGCCATTTTTCCTATAATTATGCAATAAATAACGCAGCAAGGAGACTTAATTTTCAAATGCTTCTTCGCATAAGAAAAGCGTACAAATCTTTTTTAGTTGTCTTTCTTTTTCTGAGGGAAGAAAAGCAAGGCGGGTGACAGGGGAAAGGGGTTTCATTTTCGGGGGTGGCCCATAAAAACGTCAAATGCGTAAAAGTATTATTCCGATTTTCGTGTTAATATCGTCATAAATTTTAATAATAAATTGACATCGAAAAAGAATAAACCTTTGGGTCTAAAATTAGCTTTCGCCTTGAAGTCTTCGGGGAATATGGCTATAGGTATTCATTCATAGTTTGTTGAAGCAACCCGAAAATTCCAATCGAATGATCGGATGGACTGCGATCTGAACCATGCATTATCTATTATAGTTGCCCGAATCAGTGAATTTCTAATCGCTTTCAGGTTCAAAGTTGACACCAAGGAATGCGCCTGTTTTGACGATTCGACTTGGGACTATTAAAAAATATTAAACGCTAAACGTTAGCTAAGTCATTGCTAAATAACATTGATTAGGCGCCTGATTTCGAAAGCATGTCAGCTGGGGTTATCTTTCAATTTGGAAGTCACTCGAACGAACAGCTTCGGATCAGTGGCGTTTCTCGATAGGTATGTACATACGTATATATTTTCTGGATTGATCTTCCTTCCCCCAAGGTTTCCCCCAAGTCTGATTAGATTCCCGAAATAGTTATACCATTTAGTTGCTAGGGAAGTCTCTTTTTAAATATTTGCATAATATGGCATACTTTGTTCACAAATTAATGTAAATTTCGGTACACCTCTGGCTCTAGAAAACCAGAAAGCTTTCGGCCCAAAAAGTTAGCATAGCAAACAGAAAACCGAAAAGAGGAAAACAAAGGCCGAAAAACAGCTTTGGAACTCTATTGATTGGGTCGTAAATTTGTTTGCTTTTTGGGGGTTTCTGGCTCGTCTTTTGTCGGGCTCATTTGCATTTTATGCAGGTTGATGTTGAGCTCGTGCCATTCACAAACATCGATCGACGGCACATACATATAGTCCCCGAAATATTTATGGCTTTGGCCTAGCTATCATTCAATAATCTTTGCATAACTAAACTGACCCAGTGAAATTCTGTATTGTCTTGAGCCAACGTCTTTGGAGTTTTAGCTTGGGAAGATTCCGATCAGCGAATATATATATGTACCATTAATGAGATCTCTTTCTGCGAGTCCAAAGCGTCACAGAAAAATATATATATATGCATCACATGAGAAACATTTTTCTTACGCATGAAAGGAAATTAATACACTTTCTAAAAGTGGTTTGAGTTGGATTATTTAACTTATTTAAAATAATTACTTTAAAACACATATATATATATATATATTAACTAGATAAGTTCAAAAAATACTCTTTGAGCTTTTTCTTATAAGTCTTACAAATAAAATTAACCATATTTGCAAATTTTCTCATAAATATATTACTCTTCGGTATATAAATATATTTTATTATATTTTGTTTTATTTTCTTTAAAATATAACCATTTTCCAAGAGTATTTCCAATGGCCGTGCATATCCTGAATGATTTTAAACACACATTTTTAGTGAGTTCTAAATTTTATTTAAAAATGTTCTTGCCTGCCTTTTTCTTCTCTATAGATGTTATTAGATGCCATAAATTAACTAAATTCATTGCTATTGCTAAATCTTTTTACGTACGCACCACGAGACCACGAGACAAAAAGAAAAACCACCATGAAAATACCGAGAAGAAAGCAAAAAAAATGAAATAACGAAACAAAATAAAATTTAAGGAACGGGGGGAAAAAAGTTTTCGAAATGTGTTTTCTTGTCGAAAGAATTCGTGTCTGTCGTCTGCTGGCAGGCGGCATGGAAACAACGACACGAAAATCTTTCAGCAGCAGTTGACACACACGGACGGACATTTGGACGGCTGGGAAAACCGGACGGACAAAGTACGGAACGAACACCTACGCAACTACTCCGGCGGAGATGGGGGATGCTGCTGTTGCTGATGATGATGTTGATGCCAGGACGGAGGGGGCTTTGGTTCGGAGAATGTCGCCTCCTCCAAACTGACTGAAATGAAAATTGTGGCAAGCTTTTTGCGGCCACCGTGTCGCCGTTGATGGCTTCTGAAATGATGCAAAGTCGCATGTTGGGAAATTCTCTTTCCAATTTCAACTCAAAGATAATAATTAGGGAAAAGAGTCAATAGTCGAGGGAGGAAGTACCCTGAAAAGATTAAAAATTCTTAAAGAAAATTAATATCAATCTAATGAAAGATTTTATAGAATTAATATTCTGTTACCACACAGTGATTATATAAATTTTATTTCAAACAGAAAACAGCGTTAATTTCTTTGGTATTTTTATAGTAAATCTATACTGAGAGAATATCTATTAAGTACTTTGTATATAAAATCTACACTCTTTGGGTAATTATAATCTTATAATTTTTAAGAAACCAAAAGCTAGATTCCTTCGGTACATCCCTTTCAAAAGTTAGGCATATGAAATTATCTTTGTCGCCGCCATGGATTCTTTCGTTTTTGGGGCTTTTTGGAAAACTATTTCAAAATGTGAAGGCATTTTCCTTCTTCTTTTTTTTCGAATTTCGAAAATTACCTTGCTGTCGCCACAATGAAAGTTGTCAAAGATCCTCCTCGGGTATCAATTTAGTGCTTGTTTGAGTATAGCATTTTGACCCTGCTTCGGATATTGGAATCATTTGCCATGTAATGGCTTCAAAAGAGCATTTTTCCACACTCTAGAAGTGTCACTGGGATTTGCCCTAGAAATTTTAAAGAAATTCCAAAGAACTCTGCGCGGAAATGTGGATCAATGGACCAGAAAGAAAACTGTCAGCGGAGGGCTTTAAGATCTACGAGATCAAAGTTTCCCCTCCAGAGCCAAGATATACTAATTTGGGAAATATCTGTAAGTTGGCAGCCAAGTGGATTGAAGTCAAAGTGATCGGAAAGATCTTTTGTGCCGAAAAAAAACCACTCACTGAATGAATTTCCATTCATTGAAAGTTGCCACGGCTCGAATACTTTTTGTTGTTGATGACGACGATCATCTTCAGCTTGCCAGTCACTTGATTTGGTTTTTGTATTTTTTTCCCTCGGTTTATTTCGGTTTTACCGTTCCCGGCAGCATTAATAGCCCGAAAAATACACCTTGCCATTGCCAAACAAAATCGAATTCGGGGAGAAAAGAGCAGACTCCGGCCGATCGTGTCTCTTGATGGCCCAGCAATGACACACATTTGTCAAAACGGGTTCACTTCAAAAGATCCCGCGAGAAAGGGAGAGAAAGAGCCAAGAGTTGCTGAAGGTGCAAGACATGACAACAAGGCAACGGGTACAGCAGCAACAACAAGTGAAAGATAAATGTGCGGCCATCAATTGTCAAATGCCAAACGGAAGGAGATCGTTTCAAGAAAAAAATATAAGGAAAAGGAAAAATACACGGAAAATATTTGGAAAAAAATATAATCAAATTAAATGGGTTCCTGAAACTTATATTTTATTAAAAACTTTTCTAAATATATGTTAAATTTTTAATAAACACACTGCTAAGGTAGCCATACTTTATTTTTAGCATCT